TAACCATAATAATAACAATAATAATAGTAATAACAATAATAGTAATAACAATAATAACAGTAATAATAACAATAATAATAATAATAGTAATAACAATAATAATATGTTCATAACAAAGTGTCCCCAGCCAATAAATATTGATAATGCAAAACTTATATCGCTGCACATTGATAACTTCAATAAGTCTTGATACAAAGCCACTACTGTGAGGTATCAAAGTCTAGCTGAACACGTTCACTACTTGTTCATGTTGAACGCATCCATCTAACGAAACATCGCAACCGAAATTTAACATAAGCAATCAGTTCCCTAATACTACCACTGAAACCATAAGCCAGTTCACAGCAATTCTGCTGACCATAATTCGCTTTGTGAACTATTATCACTCGCTAAGGGCTACATGCTAATCGCTAGTTCCGCTGACCTCAACTCCTCGCTAGCAGAATAAAATCGCCAGTTCCCTCATCATTAGATGCTTCTGGGTGATGGCTCAACGATGCACATAGTGTGGCATCATCACCATCTCTTTCACTGATTGTTAGTGAAAAAGTTGTGTTTCCAATGTTTTTACTTTGAGATTTCTCTATTTTCCAATGGATTATATTTATAAGCTCCCGGCCCAGTCCCTGTGGACAGAAATGAAACAGTTTACTGGAATTGGGCAAATGACAGATGTGGATGTTGACCAATCATAATGGTGATGGCATTTCGAAACGTTCTTTTTTATATTAGTCCACTCCTTCCTTTTTGCATATGTGTTTTCATCAGTCTACCGATCAGCTCAGTTTTCTTAATTGAATCAGACATTCAAGCGATACTTATGTTTGAGCAATGTTCGAATAATAATAAGTGCACCATATAAGACCGCCATTTATTAGTCGTCTACTTTATTTGTCTTATCTCTCATTGATCCTTAAATCGGTATACAAGCCTTATTGGATCTATGCTGCTTTAGCTTAACTCTTGCACCTGATCATTTGCCATTCATTAAGCTAACAATAATAATCAGCGATTTCAAATAAAGGCAATTTGAGAAAATGAATCAGTTACAATACACTCATCTTTAACGACTGGTTATCACACATTCAGTATTATACTATACTGTAGAGCAGACATCGGCAGACTCTTTGGATAATATGAGAGGACTCTCATCATTTAAAGGAATTTCTCAACTTCCTCTTTATCACTGAGGAATCTTCAGGAATTCGATTTAGCCTAAACGGCCTTACTACTAGAGCGCCGATATCTGTCACAAGTTATGAATAAAACAATAAAATAAATTCTTCAACCAATGCATATTAAAGCGAATAATAAGAAAATACCCTTAAAAATCTGTCACTCCTTAATGCTTCGTAGGTACCGAGAAATTCCAGGAATATGTTTCTTCATTCGAATTGTTTCTTAGCCTTCTTATCGCCCCGCAAAAATCGCTTTGGGCTAAATCTAGCCCTTGAGGCCTTATCAGTCAATTTCTCGGTACCTTTAGAATTGGGCAATTCGGAACTTTAAATGAAAGCATTCAAAATACAACATTCAAACGAGTCATTTTGATGATACAGACATTAACAACTACCATTAATATTATAAAGAAAAGATAAAAATTTTATGGTGCCATTCTTCTTTGACATCAATGTTTTTTTAATATTTTTTTAAATTTTAGTTTTTGTTTTTTTTATTTTTTGTTTTTCCTTTTTTTTAGTTTTTAATTTTTTAATTTTTTTCTTTTTTTAATTTTTTAAAATTTTTTAATTTTTTCTTTTTTTATTTTTATTGATATTTTTTCTTAGTTTAATTTTTCTTCCTCTGTTCTCGTTGTATTCCGTCGTCGTTGCTTCATCTGTTGAGGGCTGTTACTACTGTGAGTCTGTTGATGAATTGTCGATCATCTGATGGAACTTCGTCAGTTGGTTGGACCGTATGATGTTTATTGGGACCAGATTTGCTTTGTTTATGATATTCATTGGTGGACGTTCGGGATATGCGGGGGGGGGGTTATATCACTTCATGAGTCGCCTTTCAATCATGAGTTATGAAGCCCAATAATCATTTGAAACGATATTAACTGACGGCTTCCTGGTGATACATTAATTTCATCACCAATAAGCTTCGATAAAGCACTGAGTGTGACGACCAAGAAATACTGTCGCAGTCACTTCTGTCACAGTGAGGGGTCAACGGGTAAAGTACGTCACATTGAATGATACTGGAATGCCGATAAAAATCAAACTGGCATGTAGACTGGGCATTGATAATAGGTGAGGATGGGGTAGAAGGTGTTGGGCTGACGGACAAGGAAACGAATTGATTCAGACGAGTCGATTTCGACGACTCATGGTCATTTCTGATGAAATTATTGAATACATATTCAATTGCATTGGTGAATGATTGGTGTTGCAATTGCAATTGAGATCAGGAACGTGCAATGTGACGACAGTGATTTCGACTGATTTTGTTGGATTGACGTTTGCGGTTGAATAGATGAGATTGCCTGCGATGCTGATCTCAGTAGTAACAGCCTGTTGCGAATTCGCTGGACTGATTCGTTGAATACTGGTTATGTTTCATCGTGTTGTTGTTCATTGCAGTAATGCTATTGTATGGATACAAGTTTTCATAATATTGCATTAAGACCTCATTTATAATATTAGTGATAATACACGAAATTTCAATTTGCTCAACAATGTAGAACACTGTGAAGGAAGAATTTGCTTTTAACAACTTACAGATTACAACATTACCAACGATAATGCTCTAGATAAGTGAATATCTAAGAGAATATCAGAGAGAATGCTTACAACAACTAAAATTAATCACATTTACATAAAAGATGATTCGAACAAAGTCAAAGTATTACACCATATTTGAACTGTTCAAATTTTCATCTGAATGGAAATCTCAATGCAGCGAAGATGTATGTTTATGCAAGCTTCTTGGCTTGTGCAATCCTTTGGTGTAATACTTCGAATTTTATCATTTTATCATTGTTTACACTGTTTCATAATACAACTTCATCATCGCTCTTCATAGCCGGATAATGAATGGCAAGTGATGCTTTACATAAATGGCATGAAACGTTGAATAGTCGAATCATTTCGACTATATTTCATATCTTCTGATTCAGTAAATCTTTTATTATGTCCTAATTGGCGTTCTTATACGGTGATTTATTGGCGTTATTGGCGTTCTTACATGGTGGTTTACGATCTGAACATTACTGATCCTAATTATTGAAAGAAAAATTATTGATGAAAATTAGCTTCATATTTGTCTTTCAACTTATGCCATGACCGGCATCCTTGTTTTTATTCTATTTCGTTAAGTCAGTCAAGCTGATATAATCAGTCTTTTTCGAAGAACGTTTCGAAATTTGATAATTGTTTTTGCTGTTAGCATCCACATTTATTACTTGAACCATATTCCAATGAACTTCAATTAGGCAACGGTGTCGCGAACGATTAACATTTTGAAATTCGTCAATGATTTTCACTCTTTGAAAGCCAACAAAATTCTTAGTTTTCCACGCAGAGTTCAGCGGAAGCTATGCGATGAACTCAATTATCATTCTGAACTCAGTTGTCATTTTTTCGCAATGAAAACGATAATTTGTATTAATATTATACACGAAAATGTGCAATTGACAGAATGCGAATTAACGCTGATTGCTCTCAGCTTATGGTTTCAGCCAAGAAAATCGTAATGAGACCATCAAAACAGAGGATGCTAGCTTCTGAGACGTTGATACCTCAAATATGTTCACTTTGAAAACATTGATTTCGTATATTTTTTCCTGATAATGAATATTCAAAATCAATGAAAGTTGTAATCATCGAAATGACTTTCTAGATTTTCCAGAGAGTTCACAATGAATCGTCATTGGTGGAAATAATCGAGTACTTAAGAGAGACTAGCGAACGATTCATGAAATTTATGTGGATTCAATGAGATATGTGACATGATGCGATGTGGCCTTTCAAAAGTGCGATAAAATAAATGATAACTTTGAACTGCGGCGATAGAGTTCTTTTGATGGAATTTGGAAGTTAGAAAACAATTTTCTATTTTGGAAAGAATAGGAAATTGAAAGAAATTTTCAATACGCCGCGTCAAAACAATTGGAACAATTGATAAATTATTGCGAAAGTACGAAAAATTTAGGCTTAAAATGCCTTCGACCAACGGGAGTTATCGAAAAAACGACAATGATTTGGTCAAGGAAGCATGCATTTTTTATGTGTGTTAGATGCATGTGAACCGCAACGCATCACTTCGAGAGTTGCCTTCTGAATGCACAGAAATAACATTGTTGCGTACAGTAGGGGCGATGAATAGCACGAAGAAACAGGAGAGCACTAGAGATGGAGAGCACTCCCGATGCAGACGTGCTTCAATGAGTTGATTACGTGCAGGATTTTAGAAAATTCTTCACGATTCTGTATCAGGGAAAGCGTTTTAAAAAGTACTTTTTCAAATCAACAGCTACATTTATGGGCCTGCACAATAGAATAATAAAGCATTGGGATTTAGAATGAATTAATGATAAAGATTTAGAATAGAAAAATGAATTAATCGGTGAATAGGTTTTATAAATGGATAAAGTGTTGGTAGAAGAACCTCAGGTCGCTTATTTAATTCAGCATGCATACTATTATCTCATATGTAACGTTCCACAGTATGAATCTTGTGATAATTCATCAAATTCAGTGGGAAACTGTTATAAGTTTCTTTCATTTGAACAATTAGAGTGTCGAACAAATGCCGTACTTTTTCGTTTATGTTGATGGATCTGCACAGTAAATGAAGATGTTGTCGTCAAAGTTCAATTCAATTTTTTAGTGTCCTCAATCTCGGCTAATAGATTATATATAAATCTAAGTTATGAATTTTCACTGTCCGGTGGGTGACAATTCCAATTGTTTCTTGAACTTTGTTCTTCGAGCCAATGAGAAAGTTTCGAGTGTATTTTTATTGCTTTCTACTCTTTACATCACAGTATCTGCATGAACGTTACCGAACATCATGCACCTGACGAGATCGCTCTTCGAGTTGTTACTTTAAACTTATCCACTTATTTTATCATACGTTTTTATTGACGAATGGAGATGGGAAACGTCTCGTTTGTTCATTCAGAAATCTTCAAGGCATTTAACGACGTAACCAGAGTGAATATCTTATTCAGACAACATTACAAAAACACAATTCAATCGTATATTCTTCTTCAATTATATATAACATACGTAACAATATTTACAGAAACAACAAATAAATTGACAGCAACGAACACAACAAATTCAATCGAAATATCGAAGCGATGTGCAAAAGAGATTTTGGCCAAAAACGATAATAAGAGATTTTGATAGCGAGATTTAAAAGAGAGATTTGAGAGGTATTCTTAATGAGAATGTTATAGCTAGTTTTTCAGACAGGATTAAAATACCTCAAGATGTGTGCATATCGATGATCGGGTCTCAGATGATAACGGAAAGCAGCACATCGCAACGAATACGACCACCAAAACGGAAATGCAGTCAAGATGTAATAATAAGTTCATAATTCAGTGCAATTTGATCAGATCAATTAAACGCCTCGGTCGATTGACAGAACGATAGGCTTACAATTAGCCAAGTTCAAACACACGTCTCACTTCCAGGTCGTGGTTCGGCCGTGGGCAATAGCTCAGGCATACTGGCAGCCGGTGATTTCGAGTAATTGCTTTGAAATTTGGTGTAATGAGGCGGAGATCGGATTATCGATGCACCGGTGGTCTGTTGGAAGAGTAACGGTGGATCCACTTGCATTGTCCTGAATATTGTGCGATGCTTTCAGTAACTGATTCTGATGTCATTATGGATAGCAGATATATTATTTAATTGAATCACAATGAAAAATTCGTCAGTAAAAAATTTAGTGAGAGTGAAATGAGTTGAGATAGATGAATGTAAACAGAACCTCTGAATGTTTGGACCTGTAGATCGTGAAATACGACCAATACTGAACTGATCATCGTCCGTCGATGATGTCGTCTGTTTGAATGCAAATAAGGCGGCCAATAAACTAACGAGAAACGCTAGAAAATAAGCTAGACATGCGCCTAACGCCAGAAAATACGCCAGTCCAAGTTTTTGCTGAAATTGTTCACCGATTGAAATTATTTGTGCATCTAGTCAATAAGCCAGTCCAATTCAAAAATACTTTCTCTGATGAAAATGATCACTTCGAAACGAGACTACATTTAAAAAAAACGTTTCAATGGAAAGTTTTCAGAACGAAACACTTTCAGAAATCAAATCAAATGAACGCATCAAAACTACCTCATAAGTACTCACAATCCCACTAATAAAGCGATTGTCAGCACGATGTGAATAGAAAAAGAACAGTATCAATGCTATCGCACAAGCACATGCTGCAACAAGGAAACTATCAAGTGATTAATTATTCTGACAGTGAGCAATAATTCTGGTCATCACAAAAATGGATTTATAAAAAGAATGAAGGAAATCGGTAGCATATAAACAGACTTGTAAGTAATGTGACTGCAGTGAACAGAAGAGTCAGATAACGATAACTGCACGCACAACACGCGAAACAAGTGGAAATTATTGCCGTTAAAATGGTTAGTCCCAACAAAGTCAGCGTTGCTACTTGCCATCCTGAATATCAGTTAAGCATTCATTATTATTTAAGTTTATATTCTGAATATTGTTATTAAATTAAGCATTTATTATTTAAATTATTAGTATTTCTAATGGAAAACTTGGGATACCGTAACACTTATTGTTAGATTAATAGCTGTAAGCAAGCCGAATCATAGCCTAGCTCAGGTTTGGCAACATTGATGACACTGCTGCATCGTTCCGTTTCAAGCAAATCTCTTTCCGTGAGCATGAACATAATTCATATGCACATAATTCATGTGCACATAACATAATTCATGAACACAATTCATGTGCGAATGCAATTTCCATGCTGAAATGACGAACCGAAGAACTGGTGTCTGTTCACTTCCCCGACCGGGCTTTCTGGATCATCTTGAGCTCGAGTCCCGAGTTTTGCATCATAATCCCATTTATAGATACAATTCAGAGGTTCCGATACGGATTCAAACCTGAAATTAGCATGAAGAACGATTACTGAATGCGATAACCGATCAATCTGCTCAAAATTGTTGGTGTTAATTAATCAGAAACAATACATTCACTAATGATTACCAACAGAGGGTGAAAAAGTGATCAGAAAGAGACTGATTAAAAGATCGATAAATTGAATCGATCATTTTTATTCGAAGAGTGCATGATAAAGGTAAGGAAGCGACAATAATCAATACCTTTAATGTAAAAAAAAGTGTGACTTCGATCGTAATAACTACGTAAAGTATGAAAATTCACGAAGATATTTATGAATTCAACTAAACCTAGAGAAATAGCTGGAAATTTCCATTATTCATCAAAAAATAACGAGCAGATATTAAGAAGTAAGTCGCCGGGGCAAATTCAGCCCTTTTCAATCTTTATCATTAAGACTTTTCCAAAATTTTGTGATCTTAATGACAATTTTGACCAACAATATCGTATAAAAGTATTTCGAAGCAACGTTACTCTTCAACATGACTAGATTTTAGTGGATTGCTTCTTAATATTCAAATGAATCATTCCACTTGGTTGTTTTATTATTTCCGAAGTACTTCTTATCTGAATTACTGAGTGTTCAGGGCAAAACAAGTTCTGCATTAAGTGTAACGCTACTTTATTCAGTTTTTGTTGATGACACACTCGTCGGCATTAGATTTGTACAGCTACGAAATAGCGACAATCATCTCTGCACTCAAAACGTTTACTTAAACGATACAATTTGCAAAACGAGTTAATCACCATTCACCAATTTGTTGCATTCATCATATGGTACATATTTTGAAAAGAAAACTTATTTGTATGCAACTGCTTGTTGTTGAGGATTTTTTATTATTCCCGAACGGCGCAAACGACGAAAATTCTCTTGGAAAATTCATAAACTGCCCATAAATTTGATAGGAATAACGTTAGTTTCATAACAAAAAAGTTCCGTGTAGACATTTTCAGTAGAGCGTAAAATTGATGATTCGATTATAGGAAGTGAAAATGCAAATGAAGGATTAATGAGCCCCTCACTGTGATTAACTACTGCTGAATTAATCATTTCGAAAAAATATTCGTGAAAGGTCTTAACTGTTTGGTACGATCACATTCCCAGACAAATAATCATTAATTTGCAACGCTTTCAAGTCGATCATCTCAAACAGCGTAGAAATTAGCTGATTTCTCATAAAGTAATCAATTCAGTTTTGTTTTGCAACCAAATGCATCACAATCACCAAAAAAACGCCTTGTATGATCACATGATTAACATACAATTGTTCAGAGACTCCTTCTAAACTTTCTTCTAGGATCTGAGGAAATAAAAAACGATCCAAGGTAACCGGAAATGATATAGCGAATTTAAAAGTGACCACAGCAAAATATTCATGATGATAATTTATCACTGATTTCATTCTTACCAATTATATTCAACAGACTGGAAGTTTTTTCATCGCTTCATTTCGAGACTATAAGACAGAAATTTGTTTCTTCAACGATACTCTTTCAAAGAGTACGTCGAATAAGACGATGTGTGAACAACGAATGATAAAGAAAATAACCGTTGCATAAGCGGTAAATCAGCTCGTGTGAAACGTACACAGTCCAACCAAAGACCATGCTCGTGCATATCACTGTACTCAAACAACTGAACTACCTGCAATAAATCTTTGAAATTAGGTCGATCCAGGCTGATTTTGTGAATAATGAATGCGGTTGAATGAGTATTTGAATAGGTCAAAATCAGAATGCTTAGATCAAAAACAGCACGCATCATATCAGTGAAATCACAAATGCAGTTAGTCAGTGATTTAACAAACCTGCCATGAAGGCAACAACAATGCGGCAATCGTGAGTCCAATTCCGGTCAATATGAGCAGAACAGCCAAGCCGATAACAGCCTTACGTGGCAGTGTACTACCAGAATTACGTTCGGAAGGCATTTTTTGAGTTCGATCAAGGAACGGCTCCGAGAGAGCCGTAAGCGTTTCGTTATCCACTGACGGACTGAAATCGATTAGCTTCATGTAAAACAATTATGCACTTTTAGTGAGAGTTCCTGGTAGGAATTTGAAAATGCCGAATTCATGTATTAATGAATGGATTAATATTTGTTTTGAATTAAAATCTGATTAAGAAGGGACAAAATTTAATTCGAAAATGGAACAAAAATAACAAAACAGATTAAGCGATCAATTGCAGAACACAATCAACCACTCAAATAAGTATTCAATATGGAATTCGCACAAATAAACGTGTTTTGAAACGCTATTGACACGGTGTTGTACCATTTTTTCAACATAAAACTGAGAAGATGCACTCTACAGTCGCCTTATGCGGTTTAAATTCGCTGAACAATTTCGGGCATTCAATCCGAATGCAGAAACTGAAACAATCAAAACCGTTAAATAGGACGCATACAAAATTGAATTTCCCAAAAATTTGATTCGTTTAAAATTAATGGTTCTAACTTATAATTAACGCGGAAGAATTCTCAGTGGTTGGTTGGTTTTCAATTATAAGGACGAACAGTGACGGCTCCAAAACAGTCTCTCTAATTGTACAGTGCATCTTACAATTAGTGACAAATAGAAAAACAGTAAAAGATTTTGTGGAAAAAACAACGTACATCCACATTGAATCTTAGGTGAATAATATGGAATGTGAATCGGTACAAAGAACGAGCAATTGCATTATATTTCAGAACACACTCGAAAAACCTCCGAGAGTATCTTCAGTACATAGCTAACACAAAGAAAACGCATCTCGAATAAAAAGTTTTGTGTATCCTCACCTATGCATGTTGAGGATGCGATGTTGACAGGCTTGTTGAAACGTGAACTCAAATTCACTTCTATTAACAATTATCACTGAAATAACAATTATCACTGAAATCAAGTAACAAATGAAATTACACACGAACGAGCAAATATGAAAAACAACGACGATATGAAGTATTACTCGCATCGCGCTAAACGTATCTATTTTATGGGAGTTTCGTTCTTAAGAAACATTCAGAATAATTTCTCGTTGATGTATCTCACATTACACAACTGCTGAATAAACTTGCCTAAAATCAATAAATTCATGAATTAATGAATGTTGTTGATATTGGAGTAAGTGAACAAATAGTTCCGGTTGCATTTGCTCAAGTGTGGATACCCATACCATTCTAACATGCCTTTCCAAAATTTTCAAAATTTTCTTGAGCTGTTCAATCGTATTTAAGAGAATGTAACAATTACAATCAGTTTGTCAACTGAATATTGACAAGAGGAAAATAAACTTGCAGAAATGATCGATTAAAGAGATGAAACGAATGGATTCAATCGAATCAACTAATCAGGCGAGCAGTAATGCATGGGCAGTATTCGTTGATGAGAATTGTTCGATGAGACATAGCACAATCGATAGCAAGGTAATTTAGAGGACAGGTAAGGGTGTAATCAAAAGTTAACTCGAACAGTAGACAATCTTGTGCAAATTAGAGGTTCAATGAATGAGGGAACGAGCAAAGCGATGCAAATGATCAGAATATGTGAGCAATGGATTGCGGCATTGTGTTCATGGAGAAGAGAACTGTACTGAGTGTGCAGTGCACTCATCATACATTGATCATGCGTTCGGTATTCGTTTTGAAGGTCGTCATTTCATCCTCCGTCAATCCATTTATCCAAATAAAACTGTCTCATTCATTTTCTGTGCTCCTCAACTCGTAAGTTCATCCTCAAACCAGCAATTTACATGATAGAGATCATGACTGCTCATGTAACTTGTCATATCTGATCCATACCTAGAATTGGGAATTGAAAAAAGGGCAGCTGTTCTTTTCAAATGATATCCGTTTCGAGAATTGTTAAACGATGAAATGAAATATCGAAATCCTCATAGGGACGAAGACATTTTGAGTGGTAATTGAACGAGATGAAATCAGCAGAACGGAATTTCGGACGAAATTATGTAAGCCATTTAGTGGAATGAGCGTGGTTCGGTGAAAACAAAAAGCAGTGAAGAAATAATTGCGGTACTGATGTGAAATAAAGTGTTGTAACTGTATCGGAGTAGGCCACGGTAGCAGAAGTGAATGGAACAATACTCAGTTTGAGTGGCGTTCAGCTGAAGATGGATCCGGTTTTATCAAAATTCAATTTCAATTCACTTTTTTTTGCGTTAATCGCTTCAGTCGCAAAACTTTTGATGGATGTATCAGTTTTGACTCGCATACAAAAATATGCGCACTTTATATCGCATAATAATGTCACATGAATGATTTCTGTATTCAAAGGATTGATTCATTTCATTACTATTAACTTATGGTATTTATCAATGAATGAACACAGTAGAGATCTGAAATTGGTAATATTCACGTAGTTATCGATCGAACATCTTTCGAGAAATAATTAGAAGATGAAAATTCAAAAAAAAAAGACGAGCTGTCGAGATGCGCAATGCATAGCAACGAACCGAACATCTCATGCATCGAGCTGAAAGATGATCGAGTCAATGAAATAAGACTGCCATCCAGCAAAACCATATTGTGACCCTACCGTTAGAAATGTATGCATGAGTCATGCTAAATTATTGCTCTCTAGTCATAGTCCTCCTTAGAACCTGTTCGTCTTGTGATGAAAAACATTATCTATTACGAGGATGAGTCATCGTTTGGAATGAGGTTGAACTGATGAGGTAAAGACTCATTCATTTGCATGATGATGACTAAAGACTCTCCGATGAATCGACAATATTTCGAAAATTATCCTATAATCGAATTACAAATGAACACAAAACAACGACAACAACAAAAATGGAAACAAAAAGAGTCGATCACGATTTGGATGATTTAAAACGTGAGAGTTTTTTTGCAAAGCCCTAATTGTTTTCACTACATTTTCGGTGCAATTCTATTAATGCCTGACCTTTGTTCAATGCATTAATTACTCTTTGGGATGTGATTCAAGTTGATACGAAGTCGAAATGATTACATGTTTTGCATTTGTACACATTATTTCTGCTCATACATACATAATAGAAGTATTTTTGAAATGTACCCTTTATCGCCAACACAAGAACAAACAATATCAATGCGCGTTTTGTTTAATTTGTGTTGTCGATGTGAAGTACAAACGAGTGCATGTAGAGCCCTTGTGAGCACGCCTCGGAACCGGATTCATTCAATCGAGAGTGGAACACCTTTTAACTGTTCAAATATTACCGACATCGCAGTCTACTGCTGAAATAAAACACACGCCATCACAGTCAAACGGTTATTTGCGTGAATGCATTGCAATCGAAAATTATGCATCTTTTTCCGAGAATGATCGCAATGATTCTAAGGTTCAATAAGAGTGTTAAGCTCAACATATGCTCATCTTCAGGAAGCAGGTTGAGATCATTCTATGAATAGAGATCATTTATGAGATTTTTGAATCACATATAAGAATATCGTTTGCTTCAACAAGGCAAAGTCTCTGTTAGAGAGTTTTTCGTGTATCTCACTGCAAATCATCATTAGCATTGCCGCATGATCCAGTACTTTGGTATGATATGTTTAAATCACCACTACACTCATTTTTAAGCATCAAAAATATGCTGTCATTTGATTCTAAAGTGAACGTGGTTTCTGTGGTGCGAATAGCTTATAATTTGATGAACGAGAATTCCTCACTGGAGTGCTATGCACCTGTATAGGATGGTATCCTACATTTTGGAAGTATCATATTTAGAGCATCAGTGCATAAGAATTCAAATTAAGCTGTTATTACGTCTTATGTGGAGTAAGGTCTGATCTATTGGAAAAAGAAACTTTCATTTGCCGAGCTCTAATTCCTCACTGACGCTGAATATCAAAATCAGTAATTTCAGAACGAAGAGGAACAATTCAATACATTTGATTTGTTGTTGTTCTGAGAGTGAGTGCCAGCGAGCACGATTTTGTAACCAATCGTTAATGAATGTTAATGAAGCGGACAAATAAGATTATAAGGAAAATCTTCCAACGCATCCGAGTAATCATAACCTTTGAAAATAGTGACAGTTCATTTTCTGAACTCAACGCTTCTATTTGAAACGTCAGAATCAAGTTGTAGGCAATCATGCGTCCAGATATTCCATGAATGATGGATGACACTTCCGAGATGTCATCATATAAGATCGATGGCTTTGAATAGAGTTGTTCACAAAAACAAAATTGGAGAGTGCAACTATTTCGTTTGTGCATTATATGTGATTCAAGAGCGATTCGATTCGAACGGATCTCATCGAATGGATTTTTGTTATTTGGTTGTGTTTGTCGAAGTGCTGAAGACGTGCGTGCGTTATCATATTTCGTACTGACAGATGTTTCGCTCGACTGTTTTCTTTTTCGAAAGGACGTCATTGTGAAATTGCACGTCGTTCACTCTATACTGCAATTTAGAAATTCCACTATAAATATCCACTGAATTGTATTCCTTGTAACGAATAGATTCTACTAGTTTGGTGCGGCGATCGGGCAATTTTGGAGATTCCATCCAGAATTTCAGTCCTTGTCCCCGAATTTTTTTTAAGTCGACGGCATTTTCGGGCCCCGTCCCCAAATTTTTTTCCGTCCCGCACCACACTAGGTTCGAACACACAGCTCGCATATTCCAAGTAATGAAGTTTCATTTTTGTTCAAGGAATCTTTTTTTTTTCAAGTTGAATTCAGTACCTCATGTCATCTTCCTTCGTTGAGCTGTTAAAGCGGAATTCGAGCCGTTGACTGCTATCGACAAGAATCTGTTCTTTGCATCTCATATGATCTCTTTTTTCTCATAATGTCATAATTCTTCTTTGAAAATGAACCAATTTTGGTTTCAGGCGTGAGTTAAGTACCTGAATGCTCGGCACTTTTCGATGAATCTTGACATGTTATATTGCTTTACGCCAGTGATGGTATCCGAGCGCAATTTCATCCGACCCACATGAAATTTCATCAGTTCAGCGACCGAAATTCCGATCAATTGTCGGAATTGTTCTGTCAGAATCCGATCGAATTGACGTTTTGAATTTCTGGCAGTCGGAGTTCAGACCGATCTTCCAGACTGTTCGGCTGGAATCCGAATGTCGGAATTCCGACCGACCGTTGGTCGAATGCCATCAATACTGAATTGAAATGAATTTGAAATGACTGATGTGTAATTCAAGATGAGTATATTATTAAAATAATAAAAAAATGACTCGTTTTATGAACCCCGAAATCCAGGGATATTTCGGGACAGAAATCGTGAGTCCGGATTGCATGTAAACATTGATATTGACGCGAAAACTCAATTCGAATGCCATTATTATATTTTACGTCATTTGTTGATTTTAGTTTTGCTAATGGATCAAACAACTGTGTAAACATTCGTCACATCGCACCTCGCACTATTCTTCGCGTCTTCTGAATGCACCTAAATTGACGTGCCATTCCCTCCCCCTTCCAAAAAATATCCCACCTACATATTTTATTCAGCTTGCACCAATCTCTTTTTAAATACAGATTTTCATCCATCAATATCAATTCAAAATTGACGAATATAAAAGCGTTGTGATCATTCTAATGAAGAACCGGCAGTACATTCAGTCATCCCAAACTCTTGATGAATCGTCATATCTGTTATGTTCCATTCTGCCACCTAGAATCTGCATGTGAATGGAGTTATGGGTAATACATATGAAGCCATACTAGTCTTCTGCTCATCCTAATTGAATATGAAACGTTTCAGTGATTTATATTCATAAAACAACATTCATTCTTGTCATCAAGCAGATTGCACTTATTTTTTAATGAATTTAACGAATCTCAGTAATAGTTTCTAGTCGTACTTGATGCCGTTTTCATGAATAATTCACGATGTGTGCTTTGTTGAGATCATAATGAGCAGCGAACTTTCGAAATAAACACATAGTACAAGTATCGTCTCAATATCGCAGTCAGTCTCACAATCATCGCCTAAGCGTTGCTTTCTTCAGGTAGTGGTGTTATTTCTTGTCTTATGTGAATGAACGCAACGCACATCACGTTTACACCTGCTGCTATTGCGTTTGTGACCAACTCGCCCTCTTCTCATCGCTGAATTCTGCGATTTGCTTGTATTCGTGCGAATATTTGCTATTATCAATTGCTGTTTAAAACGTTTCATTATCGTGTTGTTGTCAATCGTTTGATTAACTTTACTGTTGATATTATGTGAATGTGTTTAAATTTATGAACTTATTATTACAGTATCCCGTCCAATTTAGCCTATTTTCTGCAAACAACATCTCTCTGTTCAAATCAACACTAATGCCTCGTTATAGTAAGCGTTATCCATGAAAATCCAAATGCGTTCTCGCGCACTATGCATAGAACATTGGTGATTCAGTTCTAACTGATGCATTTCGCCATTTTCGATAGCTTTATTTGAGACTGGTCACGTCCGCAGACTAACAACCGTAAGAGCAGTCCCAACCAACGAAACGTTCTCGTCTATCTTCGTTTCCAGTCCTAAACCTAGCTCATAGCAGCACACTGCCATATTCGGTGCTGATTTTAGCATTGATTGAAAAGTGTTTCATAATTGATTTGCTTTTAAACGATCTGAAACTTTCTCATTTACATTATCCATCCGTGAATGAATCGAAGCACTCGGAACTTATGCGAATGAAATAAGCTTAACAAAATCAGCTTGAAATGCTTTAACATCTCATCGTGAATGAGCTAACAAGCGTGTGTTTTGAGATCGACGTTGTCATGCATCATTCAATCATACTTAATAACAGCAGTCGAGTTGTTAACTTTTTTTCATCTCATAAACTAAGAAGAAGTTAGGAAGTTAGCTGAAGTCTCATTGTAAGATTAAACAGTTGTTTTGTTTCAGTACTTATTATTTTTTTCCTATTTTTTCAAAATTTTCCATGTATATTGTTTTTGTGCTTCATCTTCACTTGTTGACCTATAAACAGCGTAAATGTTTTCGTTTCGAGGTTAAACTTGTTTTCGCTTCGAGGTTAAACTTGAAAATGTTAGAGAGTATCGTTCATTTTTTGCTCTTCTCAACATACTCTCGAATAGTTTATGTATGCGAACTGAATTTTTTCCTTGAAAATTAATCCTTTGCTCGTGCTGTCGAATAAGAACATCGGGAGTCTCCACCACGTGCTGCATCCGTCTTGAACTCTAATGTATTTCCCGCTAAGCGATCTCGACTTTGAATCGTCTTTTCTAGATTTTTAGAGTCAGTGAATAATTTTTGTTCAATTTCAGGTTGAGGTGTTATTGTAGGTGATTGACTGATTGATGCGTAACCGAAAAATAATCAGCGTTTGTTACTAGTTATCAAGTTTGTACGCTTAATTGTTCGTAACACCAACATAATCATAATGCCTTTGGAACCATTCGAGTGGACTCCGAGTACGAGTGATGCGGATATGATGCGCGCTGCAAACATGTCAGCACAAGAACTGCGTCATATCTGTGCCTCATGGACGGCACAGCTTGAGCAATCGATTGAAGACGTTCATGATACATCGAGCAAACACACCAGACCGTCCAATCTTGCCAGTTAGTTGTGCAATTCTGAAGTTTTTTAATTTGCAATTTAAAGGCTCAGTTCAGTGCCTTTGATCAAATGCAGATAAAATTCATTGGATCATTTAATTAGTTTGGTGATTAACTGAACTCATGGTTTCAAAGAACCTTAAAGTAGCGAACCTTCTGACCAGCTAGTAGAGCTGGTATGTTTTTCATTCGTTTCTGTTAACCTCAAGAAATGACCATATGAAATGCAAATTCGATTGCGTTCAGTTCATCCAAGCTCTGATTGATGTATTATTCAGTTTCGGGAATAATTTGCCACCCGATTGAAACGTGCAACCGCACGCTTCTCGAATGTTTTACTCCAAGCAGTGTAAATTATTGATAACGTTGACTGCTGGATTTCGTAGTGTATGATGTTTATGTGATCTGAAGAAATGTTTATTTGTTTTCAGTATGGACGATTGGTTTGGGTTGTACAACGCTGATAAGTTTGTGTGCTGCAGTTGGTATTCTATTTGTTCGTGGTCTCAGTAAGCGCACATACAATCATTTCATCACTATTTTTGTGGCCGTTGGTGTCGGCTCATTAATCAGTTCATCTACTCTTCATCTTCTCCCTCAGGTTCATTCCAATTCATCCATGTTCATTTGTTTACTCATTCATTTGTTCTGCTTTTTTGTTTGTTTTTGTTTCATTTATTTGCTTGAAAATTTTCCGACATCTTTATTTAATTGTGTTGTTTTTAGTGTTCCAAAATTTGCGAATCATGCAAGCCTTTTTAATGATTGATTGCAGGGACTTGGACTTGCTGATGGTAAAAATTATGATTTTATACCAGTGGAAACGTTTTGCATTCTTGGTATTTATACGTTCTTTTTCTGTGACAAATTCATCAAAATATCACTGGAATCTAAAAAGGTCAGTGAGTTTGTGAACGATCGTAAATGAATCGTTGTGAAGGGAGACGAAAGCTTTTAGTTGTAGTGAATTGAATTGGAATGAGAGATGTGAACAGGAAATGCGCTTACGTGATATTTGAATGATCACACTTTTAATCGATATTGATTTAACGTTGAGTGATATCATCCACTGATGATAGTGTTGTTGTTCAGTTCTGTTTTCGTTCTAGTTTCACTCTTCAAACTAGATAGATGCAACAGCAAAACAGTACAGTTCTTTGGTACTCAACTGAAATTGATTGGTCTAATTTCATTCATTTCATTCATGATCAGTTAAAGAGGTGTTTGTAATTTATAAGGAGATATTTTATCGAGAATGAAAGAATAAGAAAGCAAATAGAAAGAAAGATGAAAAAAGAAAGCATATGCATGAATGTACATCCATTTTTTATGTTTATTTGTTCGTAGCTTTTAACACGGATTGATAAATTTGAAATGGCTTATTCTTGAGCAGATATTTTTCTCAATAATTGGAAGGCAATAAATCTGCTGGGATTTGGTTTTCATCGTTGAAAATGGAATGATTTAAGATAAACGATGCGGTTGCGTTGGATATGACAATAGCCCGTGTTAACACAGAGGCCGGTTTATCAGTTCGATCAACAGATGCGCTCATTACCAGTAATAGTAGGTTTTATCGATTGTTTCTTTATTTGTCTCTTGTCTGAATTCATATGGTGTCGATGTTAGACGAAGATAAGCTGCAACAATTCAAGATGGGCCGTATCATGGTTTCTAAATTGTTTTAAGATGATGGATGATTGGGAATGACTCTATGAGATGCCATATTATTTTATCCTTGACTGGAAAATCAGTTAAAATTTTGAGGTGAAGTGAAGGAGAAGAGTGTGAAAAAATGCATCGACAATGGACAGTCATGTGATGGTGTCGTAGAGAATGTTGTAACGAACACAAAATTGGACGGTGATCAATTCAACGATGACAATTCTGTTGATATGTCCAAACAGGTGGGATCTCTTTTTTTATTTTTGCTCATTCTCAGCGGTAATCGTTGTTTCTCGAAGAGCATCCTCATTCGCAATGTTTCGCTGAAGGGTACAAGCAACTTAGTAACACTAAACTCTGTTGGATTAATTCATTTCGAATTCATTGGCGATATGGTAATTGGCTAATGGTGGAATTGATAGTAAGCTTAATCAGTCAATAAAATATCCGAATGAGGAATGTTGGTGATTGGTTGTTGGCGAAAGATGATACTTTTGTTAGGGGAGAATGATGTGAGTTTTTGTTAGAAGTCGATGCAAGGATGCGCTATCCGTCCATCGAATCGATCAGTGAGTATGAGTGTTGCTGATTCTGTAAGTCTAATGCATTGTTATTGTTCATGCGTTGCCATTTTTACTCATGCTCGAATTTCGTTTAAAAGCTCATTTATTCTCTGTTTTATTATTATGGCTTTTGGTTTGCTCGATTATTCACATGGTACATTATATGGATAGTTATTTGTTTCCGTTAATATGTTATTGAAATGAGATTCGTTCCTCTTATGATGAGGTCGAATGAACTTATTTTCTTGATCATGATCTGCAGAAGTCCCTCAAATTCTCAATCTTTCATCAGTAAATGTCCAACGAAAAGGATCTCACATTTGCATCCATTCGGTTCTGTTTGGTTCACCGTCGCCTTGAGTTTTCGAATTTTCGTATTCCGCAGTTCGACGTGGTGTTAAGTGATTATTTTGAATGTGCCTATGCGATTGATCTAGTCTTATTATGGTGTATGCTGGTGTTTTTAGTCGGATGCATTTAATCTATATAATAACTGATCCGAACTCAAACCATTCTAATACGTTTCCCAAGTTCTTGATCTTCTCTGATGCATGATACGCTTTCACCTAACCAATTCGTGTTCTGCTCTTATTTGAATATATTTTTCATTTGCAATGAAACTGATACGCCCCAACAAATTTTGAATTTTTCTGCTCACCGTAACGACGATGCCATCTTTATGTAATCGGGTGTACCGATTCCGAATCTGCAATCAGATGATCCAATCTATTGCGCAGTTTTTCGTGGAAGTAAGTAAAGTCGCTGGGGAATAAATTATCATTTTTGTGCTATTTTTTGCCCAAAATCAAAAATGTTGAGAGTGAGACCAAAAATGTTGAGTGAACTGCATATAGGAGGTTGAGGCCTGTGCTTGAATTTCTCTCTACTGTGTTCATCGCGTACCTTCCAAAGCTTTGTCTTGTGCTTGAAAAAGCTTTTATACAACTCTCGTTTTTCGCTTATTGTGCACCTCCGGTCAAGTTTTTGGAAAAATTACCAAAACGGTTGGTGATGGAGAGAAAGAAGGTTCAGTTTCGGATTCGACAATGCCTCATTAAATGATCCTTCCACCTTTGTATAATGTACATTTGAGTGGTGGAACGAGATAGAAATTCTAGTATAGCAATAATTTACGAAAATTGTGTGAGCGATAAAGCGAAATGAAATCCAGTTGCAGATTTCACGTGTAAAATCAGCGCAGAAATTCATGCTTGCCTGTTTGCTTAATTTTCCCCGTTTGATGGCATTGTTGATTGGGATTTGAATGGATTAGAGTTGATGGTTTATTCTATCATAGATTCAGTGATCACTTAGAATTAGATTGGAATTTTTGGTGGTGTGTAAAATAGTTGAATTATAGTGAATGCGCATTCAATTCGCCATCTACACAATAAGATGAGTTTTGGTTTGAATAAGGAGATAATGATGACCGATCAAATCGACGGATGGAGTCGTTTGATTGGTGAACGAAGATTTCAGGCTCACGGCATTTGTGTGCACGATCATGAGATAACGTTCAACGAGAAGAAAGACTCGGCGATAGCGACAGTGGCGTGGATGATTATCTTCGGAGATGGTCTTCACAATTTCATCGATGGCATCAGCATTGGGGCTGCGTTCACTGAGTCACTGCTCGGTGGTATCAGTGTGGCGTTGGCTGTCTTGGCTGAGGAATTCCCACATGAACTCGGTTGGATTTCGATTCTGTTAATTGTGACGGTGTTTATTATGTATTTATTGTAACTGTTAGTATTTTGATGTTGATTTTGGTCAAAGATGTTATTGTGATTCAGGTGACGTTGCGATTCTGCTGAACGCAGGAATGAATCTGAAGCAAACGTTATTCTATAATTTGATGAGCACAGTAACTTGTTTCATCGGCTTCGTAATTGGCGTACTACTGGGCAGTATTGATTCATTTTTGAAGTGTATCTTCGGATTTTCCGGCGGAATGTTCCTCTACATTGCTCTTTCGTGTATGGTCAGTGAGTTCATCTCGTACTTTTCGCCTAGCTTTTATTATTTTCATTGTAGTGTTCATATTTGGAATGGGAATTGCGATCAGGTCGTCAAATAAATGCTTGACAATATTCAGATGCCTGAAATGAAACGCACGATGGAGGAAGCGTTAGCGGTGAGTAGAAAAGATGCGTTTGTGGTGTTGTCGCTTCAGACGATCGGTTTATCGATGGGAACAATGTCAATGTACTTTTTTGCGCGTTATGGAGATCTCATCAATTTTGAATAGGTAAATTCCTATTCTCTTCCCTTAATTTCTTCTTTTTTTGCTCATTGCATGGCTTGTCTCGTTTGTAACGTTGTTTCTTTCGTTACTAAAGTGTAGCATTTTACAGTTCGGAACGATGAAAACAGTGTGGAAACGTCCCTTTTTGAGGGTTTCAAGTATTCTAATTTTATCAAATTTCCAGGCTTGCTGACCGCAGAGTTGTGTTGTTACCGGTGGAATCTCTGGCTTAGAAATTTCGGTCAGAGAATGGTATCCTTTCAGAATGTAGACTAGTTGATAGCCAGTCATTAATCGATAATCACTTGATCTAGTGAGCGTGAGTGTGCATCTTGCAATGAATTGATTCATCATCTAATTGAGCAATTTCAGTCTGACAGCTATGGAATTAGTCGACTTTTTGGTGATCATAATTATTGAAATTTTCTTTGCTTGCTAACTTGCAATGAATTTCTCCTGAAAGTTATACCTATAGAACTTAATTTATTTGCATATTGAATAATTTTTTATTTGTTCTTGTTTTTCTCGATTTGTTTTTATCACCCACAAAGGCCTGTTCTGTCAAAGTTATTCAGATATCTATTTACGTGTCTCTTCTTATGGCTCTATTTGGTATTGATGTTCGATTATGTTCAATTTAATAATGTTTAGAATTTTAACGTTTTGTTTTGTTTTTATACTGCTTGTCCAACGCAATGTGCACAGTTGAATTTTTTGATTAATTATGGGTGCGTAGCTGATTGAAATCGCTCATCTTCCTTTCGTTTTTTTGTTTATCGCTTACCAACAAGAAGCCTGACCCTCTGATTTGGCGTGCTTGTGTCCAGCAGAAATAGAAGTTTAGAGAGATGTTGTTTTCTGAAAATGAAGGAGATCTTTCATTGTCACTTTTTAACTATTCACACGAGGCTAACGAGCCAACCGTATCCTTTCAACCAGGCTTGCGATTAAAAGTTATAATTTTGTGTTGATGTTATTAAAGATCAGCTGGTTCGCTGATTGTTTTATTGTTATTCGTCTATTTTGCAATCTGAATTTCGATTTTGAATTATTCAATTTAGTTCATTGCCCGGTTCTGTTATTGTTATTACCCAGTGTAGTCTTGAAACGGTCAATTTTTAATGTTCTTCACAATGTGGGATAGTTTTGTCGCATATTTTCACTGCGGATTTTTGTTATTTGTTTCGAAGGGAATTGCTAGTTTTCATACGGTTGTTATTAGTCGTTGAGACGTTTTCGTTGATTTGATTTGAACATTTCTTTTCTTCTGTTGAATTATTTTTTGTTAATTTTCGAAGTATTTAAACTTCCAACTTATAATTGAATTATATTTGAAGGTAATAATTGACGAATGGTAATTACTAGATACGATTGATTGTTGTTTCGCATAATAATTATTCGGTTTTTGTTTCGCATAATATTCATAGCTTATTGAGCTCTTTTGTTTGTCTCTTTCTTCTTTTCATTATAACGAATTGATATCACATAAACATTTTCTCAATAATAAATCTAATATTTATTGATAAATAATTTGTTGTTTCAGTCTATCGAACGAACGCATCAAAGACTCACTTGGAATATAGCTGTAAAAAACAGTTTAACTTGAACAAAAGTGACATGTGTTTGGAACGTGATAACATAACTCGTAAAGACTGGATACACTTCAAAATGTTTTGCACGAGTCTTTTATGAAAAGTTTATATTTCTTTTGAAGTGTGCCACGAAACGTGACGAAGAACACGAAAAGTTGAACGCATTAATATTAACATCGAAGCGCATTAAGAACTTGAGCTTTTTTATCTTCACCGAGTAGTACTCGACTTGCATCACCACTTATCGCATTCAGTTCATTTCTGTAAAGCGATTAGAACCGTTTGACCATATTGTATTTGATCATTTTGAGATATTTTATCAAGAAAGTCACAAATTGTTAGATCGATCAGATTTGGTCACCGTGTTTACTGTTACGTGACGGATGATCAATGTCCTCGGTTTATCAGTTAAGTTAGCTCGAAGTTTAGTAAGCTAGTCAGTTTTATTGGTTTGGTTGAGTTCCTTATCAGTTCAGTAAGCTTAAATGCTTGCTGTTGTTACAATTACAAGATGTTGGAAGATAGGCTTGACTGTGCTTGATACTAGTGTGGTGCGGGGATCGGGGAATTTCAGAGACTCTGTCTCCAAATCCCCGTACCCGACTTTTTTCGAGCCTACGATATTTTCTCAGTCCTTGACTGGAGAATTTCGCTCCCGATTTTCCCCATCTCCGCACCACACTAGTTGATACGGAATTAAAATGATGTCAAACAAACCTGTTGAATGGATCGGCTATACCTGCAACAACAGTTAAGACGTTCGGTAATTTGTTCAGAATGTCGGACGCTTCATTGACTCGATCATACGAAAAGCCATCGGTAAGCACCAAAACAGCCGTTCGCTTATCGACACGTCTTTTCTCCAATGCACTTATCGATAGGTTCAGTGCTGCACCCGTTGCGGTTATTCCGCTGTAGAATGGCAGCCCTTAAATGGATTCCATCAGAAATATTTCACAGGTGTACCATAAATTTGCTCATGCAACCAATCGACGACAATCTTCACTCGAAAGAATGAGTCAATAATTAAATGAGATACGTTGCACAGTTCGAAGGAACTCTTGCTTAGTTGGTGCTTGATCCAGTGGAATAATCAATCGTTTCCGATATTTACTGCTGTACAAAATCAGACCAACCTTCAAATAATAAGCAATTTTACTTTTCAGTATCAATTGCTGTCAGAAAAACTTATACTGTCATCGATGCGAATTTGTTTTTGCTGTTATTTTGCTGCTTAGATTTGAACTTTTGATGGTTTTTCCGTAAACAATGCAATGAATCAATCAGTTTTCATCTGTGAATCCATTCGAGAATCACCAATCAACTATGACCAATATTCCATAAATGTATCAAACAAAGTCGAGATGATCAATTAGCCTGCATACATGTTGCGCGTTTGGATCTATGTTAAGTTTATCAGCGATACCAGCCACATATTCTTTCTGATGTTCATAAAACCCTCTTATCGACCCCGATGCATCCAACACAAATAATATGTCTGATATTTCACATTCTGCTGTAACGCAATCAATTCATTTCTTTCGAATCGTTGTGTCGCCAGAATGGCAAAGGGAACAAGCACATCAATTGGTATAGACTGATCAAAAATTAGTCTGTCCGTTTGAATTTAGCAAACGGTAATCGGTTTCAATCAAGCTGGTCATTTAAGTGAAATAAATGTTTCTATGGTTCGGATTGATGTTGACATTGTTTTCTGAATCGTTTTTGTTTAGATTATAGATGATTTTTCGGTAGTAATGACAGTGTGTTTGAGTGTTTCAAGCAATAAAGTTAGTATTTTATGAGCACTCCTCGATGGTTTTTGTTCACTGGTTGCTGTTGTGAAGACTGGAACAGTGCGTAGTTTGGTTGTCGGTTCAGGTGTAGTGTGAGTGGTCGAGTGATCAGTGGTATCTTAACTTCATCGTCATTCATCACAAGCAGTTGATCGTTTGTTAAAGCAGTTCATTGGTTAATTCGTAGATGGGAGAAGTTTTTGAAATCAAGAATCATCAATTCCAAGATGAGCATTCGAGAGAGGTTTGCGAATTCAGAATAAACAATATCTAGGCATTGATGGTGCGATCTTTTGAGACTTATTCTTAGAATTTCGTTTAATCAAAAATGTTTAATAAGTTCCTCAATAAGCACAATTGTAAAAATGAAGCTTATTGGATTTATTCATTTTACAACTCACTTTGATCGCATCCACACATCCGATAGACTGAGTGAACGAAGTAATGATCTGAAATTTAGAGCAAACGCTACATTTCCGATGCATCAAAACATCAGAATTATGTCCTGACTGAAATATAGTTATGACTGAAAATGACTGAACAAATATCCATACCAAGGTTTATTGTATAGTCTTACATGTGATGTCGAATGTCAGAGTGTTCTTTCCCGAAACTTGTTGAAACGAAAAAAAACATCATTAACTGCAAACGTTCTCAATATATTAAGAAAAACAAAACGAACTTACAAGCCTCAGCTTTGAATTTTGAACTCGAAAGCGATGAACTGGATTCCGATGCAATGACAGAAGCGATCAGTGACTGGAACTGAATTCGTGAAGTGGTAACTTAGCCTAAGCCTCCTTGTTATTATGAGTGATTATGTGGAAAATACTTCCAAATTCCTCATTCTTCTCGAAATGAATCCATTGTCTTCGTAAGTCGCCTCAACTTATTAGGCGATCTTGAAACAATTTGCCTTCGCCTTATAACGCTCCATTAGTGAAAGCTTCCAAATGTCGACAACTTGAGCATTCATTAACCATTATGCATATATAATAAATATGAATCAAGTCTCAAAACATCAAAATACGAATAGATATGAAAATGGGAATGCTCTAACCAAGCATAAAATAACTGAATGACGCATAGCAGCTGCCTGAAACATCGTTGCTTGATGACGACAAAACACACGATGAACTTCAATTTGTGTTCCACTCTGGAGTCGTTCAGTGAAAGCTGATGCAATGAAGAAACAATAAAAGAATCGCACTGAACATGTTCAGGAAATTTTCGAGTATCAGGTTTTTGAACGAAAAAAATTACGAGTGGTATCGATAAAAAACATCAAAACTGTTATCAATCATCAATCTGAAGTTTAATTTGCAATTCACATTCTTCACTTAGTCAATTATGGTTAGTAACAAGTCAGTTAGAATGTTTCCACGTAAAAACTCGACTAAACTATTACTCCTAATCACATTCGAATCTTTTTTCGATAAATCACACTTCCCTTTCGTTACATGGTCACTTTTGCAATGAAAGTCTGCTGAAAATGTACGGTGAAATGACACTGGTGATATGGATGGAACTAGAGATGAATCTAGGGAAAAACAGGGCTCGAGAGCTAATGAGGATAACGGGTGCAGGATCGGGGATCAAGAAGAACTTTAATGACCTATCTTCAGTTCTCTCCTGAGCATTAATGCCTGAGCTCAAGTACCAGCAAAGTTTTTTTGGCTCACACAAAAAAATCACAGAAGCATCCGGTAGCCGACTGCTGAGACCTGCATGGTTATTCTTCCTGGAGGTTGAGCGGAACGAAACGAATTATACAGCTTGAGCAAGAATATATAATGTCTATTGCGATCAAATGCCGCAGGCAGCGGATAAATTTTGAGAAATGTGGAGCTGGAACTTTTGAAAATGCGGTTCCGGATCGATTTCATTATGTTTAATGTCATGCTTATTAGCATCTGGCTACTTTAATCACTCTTCATACAATACTTTCAACATTAAACACTCCTTTGTCTCCGTTAATTTGCCAGTCAAAAGAAAAATTTGACATAGATAAACCAAAGAAAAGCTCAAAGGTCCTTGGGTCACAGTCATGTAACTCCAAATGAAAATTGTTACGCAGCTGGAAGGCGCGAAAAACGTGATGACAATCTCAAGTGTTTTCGACTTGTCGCATTTCTGTTGTCAATTCAATTTTAAGGATCGTTTTCATGAAGCTGTCACAAACTACTATTCTATGAAAACAATGTTTTTAAAACAACGAAATTCACTCACAAGTGAATTTTTTTCACAAGTGAAGTGGAGAATGTACCCAGCATGCACTGTGCAAAAATACCTATCTCAACTTTCCAACAATCCAGAGCAATGTGCTCTGAGGTTATTTGAAATGCTTTTAAAAATGTGCTTTTCGGTAATACTTTCATCAACTGAATTGATGATATGAGTGCCTTAGGAGCTCATGAATAAGCACGGAATTTGATTATCTTATTATTAACTCACAACAACTTTAGATGTTGCCGTAATTTGCTGTTAACTTCACTTTCCTCCTCATAATTGCTTTACACGAAAACGAGCATGAAATGATGTTTAATCCTGAACACAACCTGAGTTAATGCTTTCCTCATTGGGGTCGGTTTCATCTTCATCATTTGGGTACTTGACGAGTGGCTCTTCATTCGGATATCATTTGGTTATTATTATTATCATCGTAATTATTTTGATAAGCATCAAGCACCTTATTTCTAGAATGCGCTGAGCTTTATGAACAGTTTGACGTTAGAAATTAGAAATAGGAAGAAGTGGGTTGGCAGGAATGAATGTCCTCTCTATCGTGGTATTTGCACATTTTCCGCCATTTAGTTCTGTTGTCAGCTATCAGATTTTAGCGGCAGTTTCGGTATTTCCTTGTCATTACGCCTCAAGATATCTCGAACCAACCAGTTTCAACCTATTTTCTAGCGCTCTTTTAGATAGTTTTATATGTGACACATATGGCTTCAATTGCTTCAGTGAATTAGCTCAATATCCAATGATTACTTTTGAAAACCGTTCTTCGATTTACGCTCTTCGATAGAGTTTACATTCAAAGTGTTCGAACAAACTCTGTTCGTGAACTGAGCTTGCACTGTAATATCAGTGAACAATTGCATGGCAAAATATGTTTATTAAGGCTAACTAGTTAGTCAACACCAAAGTGTGAGTGTTTTATGAATGCACCTTACGAATTTGATCAGACTCTCGAGCAAATCTAACTTAAGACGGAGAAGATCTCGATCTGAGTTGTTCTCGTAATCGGCGAATACCTGAAATACTCACTCATTTATCTGGAAGAGTGAAATGTATGGCAGTAGTCACGAATAACCATGAATGTCCTCAACACATAACTGGATTTCAATGGGACACAACCATTTTGCTGATTTTGAGCTCAAGTTATAAAACATGCTACTCATGTTTTTAACTTGAACTCAAAAAATTCTGATTGTGAGCATAGTCTCGAACGTTTTTTTCAGCTGGAACTGTCATTTGTTCGAATGAAATTTAGTTTTGGTTGGATTGCTGTCCACATATTTTGAACTTTGGCAAAGACGAATTTTCTTACTTAAATGCACACATTAAACGTGCGCGCGTAATTTTATCCGTTGAAATGTTTTTGTTTTGAGAGTTACGGCGAGAAGTTTGAGGTGTTTTTGAGAATATTCGTTTCTGGGGTGGTGAAATTATTTAGTAAATGATTGCTGCTTTCCTATATATTGTTCGCTATCGATAATTGATTCGTGTATTTGAATCATCGTGAAGTTTTTCAATTTTATTCATGCAATTGCTAAGAAAGCAATGATTAGACTGTATTAAGACTTCGCTTGGCTGATATTGAATAGAAGTATCGATTCATGTACACTTGTGATAATACCGACATCTCAAAAAGTAAGTTTATCTTTATTAATTTACCCTGAAATGTGTACGTTTTTGGTGTATTGCATGTAAAACTAATATAGGAGATGAACCAAAGGAATGTTCATCGTCAGTGTCCACTTCTGAAAGGCAAATGGAAGAAGAGAGTGCTGATCAACCCAATGACGAGATAAACGAGGTGGCACTGGCTCTAGATGTGTCGTCTCGTGAATCTGCGTGGAAGCCAACGAATGAAAGCATTCGAATTGTTGAGGCCATGGCTAATGATGGTTTGTCGTTTCGTTCGTTCTTTCTTAGCTTTGAACTTGAGTGGCATTTAATACTGCGTAATATTTAACTCAATTAATTCCATCACAAATTATATAATTCTAGGTGCATCACCTCGACAGGTTGTCGAATCATTGCTGCCGAATGTAACGTTGCCAGAGGACATATCCAATGAAGAGCTGTGTCGTATCATTCAACAAATTATCCACTCTGATCGACCAAAGCGCGATAAACTTTTGAATTATAACACATTTAGTGATGCCGTTGAATTGCTGAAAAGGTATGTACATCACATTGTAATTCTATTTAATATGCTGTTTTGATTCATTTCCGAATAATTTTAATTTTTTGCTTTATCTTTCTAGAAGTCAACATATTTTGGTATTAACCGGTGCTGGAGTGTCCGTTTCGTGTGGAATTCCTGATTTTCGTAGTAAAGATGGCATTTATGCACGGCTTCGCGTCGATTTCCCAGACCTGCCCGATCCAACAGCAATGTTCGACATCAGTTATTTTATCCGCAACCCAAAACCCTTCTTCGAATTCGCCAAGGTCTCATTAGTTATATTGAATCTTATTTTAGTCTGAGCATTACATTTCGAGTTTTGTAAATCTTCGATCTTTGGATAGGTGTTAGTTATTCATGCTTCTCTTCGTGAACAATGGACATCGATGTTTAATCGGTACTCATCATTCAGGAGATATTCCCTGGACAGTTCAAAGCTTCCATATGCCACTATTTTATCAAAATGCTTGAAACGGAGGGTAAATTATTGAGAAATTACACGCAAAATATCGATACGTTGGAGCAAGTTGCTGGTATCACGCGAATCGTTCAATGTCATGGTAACGTTTAGTAAATGTTGAATTATATGATGAAGAAATGTCTTATTGTCATGGTAAATTTAAAAAAAAATTGAATTATATGATGAAGAAATGTCTTATTGTCAAATTTAACTGTTTTAAAGTGAATTCCACTCCAGTTGGTGTACTCGTTGGATTTTTCAATTCGAACGAAACCATTTTACCTTAATCCATATAGCGGAAGCCCTTCGATAGGCCATGATCACCCCTCTACCCCTTATGCTAGATGAACTTACTATTTCCACATATAACGTTAAGGGGAAATCGAAAACAATCCTCGTTGGCGTGTAAGAAATTCATTTTCTGAAATGAAACAAGTATTTTTTGAAGTTTATTTATCAGTTGCATAAAAAATATGAATCTCAGCAAGGAAAGCAATATCAAAGCATTCCTTAAAAAAATGATAAAGTTAAAATTTATCAATAAGTTCACTCATACCCGCAATTAACACCTTTCCTGTCCTCCGTCGACACTCTCATAACCTCAAGGGTAATTTAATGTCTATGAGAGATATTAATATAGAGCTCCTCATCAGAGTTGTATGATTTTCGAATCGATTTTTAAATTGAGTTGCGTAGTAATCGTTATTCTGCTATTTTAGGATCATTCTCGAAAGCCACTTGTCGACATTGCGGCTCAAAATTCGATGGAGATGTCATCAAGGAAGATGTTCTAGCGAAAGTATGATTCTTTCATTTTCTGATTCATTTTTAAATTGCGAATTATCTCTATATGAGGTTGGCATGTCGTGGAAACGGCCGATTTAGACATTAACTTTTGAATTTCTTGAATAAATTTTTGAATGAATATTTAACATTCAGAGAATAGCAATGTGCCAAGTATGTGGCGATCCAAAGGGTGTGCTCAAGCCGGATATTGTCTTCTTCGGCGAAGATCTGCCGGATGAATTCCATGATCGAATGGTCGAAGACAAAGACCAGGTATTGTAGTTGTACGATTGTCAGTGAATGATTCCTTATAATTTGAATGAAATTTCAGGTTGATTTGGTAGTGGTTATTGGATCATCGTTAAAAGTGCAACCAGTAGCGTTAATACCGTTCAGCGTCGATGCATCTGTGCCTCAGATACTCATCAATCGTGAGCCATTACCACACTATTCGTGTGACATTGAATTGCTGGGCAATTGTGACGATATTATCACACAGTTCATAGTGGCTTTGGGTGATCCTTATACTCAGTTACTTGAGCATAGAGGTTATCGTTTCTTCATTAATTCTTATTTTCTTCTCATCTTTGCTTTATGTATTCTAGTTCATCCATCTAAATAAGAAATTTTTCCAGAGTCAGTGAGTGCTAACGAGCATAATGTTGCAAACGGAAGCGTTGATAATAGAGAACATCGAGATGTTCCATCATCACACATTGCACAATCGCGAAAACAAATCGATGAAGTTGAATTCAAGGTTTTTGATTGTTGATTATCCAACAATTATATTGTCAATTTAATCATCTGATTTTTGTTGTGATTGCTGTTTATTTGATATTTGGCTAATAGTTGCCATCTGTTTCAGCGTTTAATAGCTGAACCGGATATGAAAAAGGCACGAACAGACGCGAATGCATCACCGTTATGGGATGGAAGATATGTGTCTGTTGAGTCTAAACTTCCTCCAGATTCATTTCTCTTCGTTAGTATTCATATTATATTTCCAACTTCATATCCTACCCTATCACATTAATATTTGCGCCTTTATTTGTTGCTGAACTGATGCCGTATGGGAGTGGTTAAGTTTAAACGAACGATCAGTTGCAGATAGCACCGAATCGAAGTGTATTCCCAGGTGCAGAATTGTTTTATGATAAGGACGAGGATGTATTCTGTCAACTGAGACAACAACACTACACCTCATCGTTGTCATCTGTATCTGGCTCGGAGTGTGAATCTGATTCGGATGAAGAGTCAGAATCCTTAATATCGCGATTCAACAGAACTCATTTTCGTCGCGTTCAGTCGTTGCCGCCCGATCATCGCATCTCTTCAGATCATTGCCACAATGAAGGAGGATCACACTCAAAACGCTCAGCATCCTCACCAGCAAGTGGAAAAAAATTGGCTAAATTGAGCGAAGAGCCGCGAAATTTGGATCGACAACAGCAACGAAGTCGTTTGATGCATCGAGTTCGGTATTTCAGTGAGGGTGCTGCCTATTCTCTTAGCGATGTTCTTCGAGCTGAACTGGCACGTCATTAAGCAAATTTCTAGCTGGTCTATCGCTTATCTCGTTCAGCAGATACCTGCATACGGATTGATTCTTCATTTCATCGCGTTCAAATGTTCATTCGATGCGAACATTTTGTTGACAAGAACGTTTCCGAAATGAATGACTTAAACGAGTACAAATGCATGCAACCGATGTTCATAAAATGTTGCTAAAATACTTTGATTTTGGTATTATTGTGTTGTTGGCGATTTTTATTGATGAATGTTGTAAGATTAGCATGACGAATAGTTATAATGATATGAAGTGTTTTTTGTTTATCAATTCTTATTTTTGTTCGTTTGTTTTGCTAAACATGAACTTTTCATACCTCTTCGGTAGAATCAGTGCGGTAAACGACGTCATTCGCGTATTTAGAGACGGATGGGGGGTAGTTAACGCAAACCGAATATGGCTGATCGATTGAGCATTGTTCATTGGCCATCTAGCATCCCGTTGAGCATTTCGCATTGTGTCGGTCAGTGGCCAATGAAATCGAAAAAGAAAGACTTTAGGCGAACATCGACGAAAACAGACAGTGCGATGCCCAAAAATTGCCTTTTCGGTGGTCACCGATAGAATGCGAGGTTGAGTTTGATGGCCAGCGAAAGAAAAGATCGTTCGGTTCCAAATTCTAGTTGCACTTCATTGCGCCAGTTGTCAAAGGAAATAAATCATACAACATTCCAGTTACTAGTGCATGTCGAATGATCACTACCGAGAATTTATTTCATACCTCTCAGTGATTACATCCATTCCGATTTCATTGCACCCTCTTGCGTTTCACTTCGTTCATATGGTACTGATTCCGCAAAGCAATCAAACATTCAAATTGCGTTTTGTTTTTGTCACTTTCAATTGATTCTGTTTTTTTTATGGAATCCTTCATCGCATGTTATCGTTTATGTGTTACGGATATTTCCATTTGTTATCCAATCGGATTTTGTGTTTTCATTTCAGTCCATTCTAAAGTGTGCACCCATTTTGCCGTTTTGTATTTGTTCTCATTGTCAGCAGTTCGTTTTTGATAGTTTCGGCGTCCGAATACGTCTCTTCGTGTAACCACTTTCCGTTGATTTGCATTATCATCATTGTTTCATTATTGTTACCATTATAAGCGATATTATCGTTGCTGATGTTACTATGACTAAAGTTTTGTTATTATCATTGTTCATTTTATAATCGTTTTTAAAATAAGTGTCTTAAATTTGGAAACAAAAATTGTGTCCTCTAAATGGCGAAGATTATTGTAAACAATGAAGTGAACAAATTGGTTTATATGTTTCGCTTAAATGATGTATTAATCATGAGTTCATAAAGCTGCTGATCGTAATGAGACGAGTGAAATTTTTTAGAATTTTATTTGTAATCGAAGTTTTCACTGAATAATTTGACTGCTGATTTGAATCAATTCAATATTCGTGTTATTGTTCGCTGATTGCTCCAAATTTTTGCATTTGGATATACTTGATAATTGTTGATTATTATTGATAATGTGACATTTTACGATATTCTTTGACATTTTCTTATTTCGTCGTGTTTTTAGATTTTCATTTTACGATTAATTTTGTTTATTTACGTGTTAATTAGGTGGACTGGTGCTTGCTTTTTTGATGTAATGAGATGGAATGGAATTAAAGAAGCGGTCAGGGATTTATAAAGATTTGTAATGTGGTTTATTATAGTTGGACATTGAGACGTTTTGTTCAAGTTTTGTTTCGATAGTCAGTTTTCAAAAGGTATTTATTACAAAATGTTCAAACAAAATGAAACAAAGTGAGAAGGCATTCGATGAGCGAATCGTATTTCACATAAATTTTGGTGTGGTGTGTGCAGTTAGTTGATAAGTTATACTGTAGAAAGACAACATTCAGTTTAATCGTTTAACGTTACTTAGATACAACATTGGAAATAACTTGGTAATATTATCTTTCAATCACATGATTATACATATTGTTCAACACACTGAAAGAAACGTTTGCAAACAAACAAAACACAAAAAAAGATCACAACCTAAACCCAAATATTATGATCGCTGAAGATAATTGATGAATAAATAATTGAATACGGGCCCGTGATCGATGCGTTCACCTAGCGAAATTCAATCTGTGAGGGTATTTTCATTGGAAAGCCGAAATGAATTCATCAGATAATGTCTAGAAATTACTCGCACATTGGTGTGAAATTACTAGTGGCAATCATCTGCGTTAGGCAGTTATGGCTGCGGTCCTGATTGGAATGATTCGAAAGAAAAGGAGAACGAAATATGAAAAATAAGTGGATTGAGGTTGTTAAAAAGACCTATCGATCAAAACTCTGTAATCGTATAAGCAGGTCCTCGTAAACTTTGTGACCTAGTGCTGGGCGCATTATTCTTGTTATTTGATACGACTGTCACCGGCGAGAGTGTAGTTTCACAAACCGATTTCGCACGACCATTCATATGCAAACGTGCACCCGTATCCAAGCCGTCCCCGTTCCCACTGCCATTCCCACTTTCCGGGCCTAATCGTAACCTCAACGTTGATCGTGTAACATTACGAATACGTTCATAACGACGTCTGAATGGCATCAAAAGCAGCTGACGGAATGCACGTCGATATTTTTGACTGTATGCAATATAGATCAATGGATTCAGTGAGGAGGACAGCAGTGACAGCCACTGGAAAATGGGTCGTAGCACTTGAGATGCGAACTGGAATGTTGATGTTTCGTGATCTTTTGACAGATAGAAATAGCAGTAGATACCTGAAAAATTTTGCAAAATTATCCGGTAATGCTTAATGTGATCATTGAATTATCATGCAAAACGCTTTGTTTGGTGGTGGTGAGGTGAAGGGGATTGGCTGTGAGTGCTTTTGCTTCATTAATATTTTAGTTGAGTTGTCACGGTTGCCTCAGGCAACGCTCTGTTGACTGAATTCAAATCCGACGACTTTAGTGATCAATATTGGTGTTTTTTTGATTTATATTTAATGTAATCGCAGAAGTATTCTCACAATCAGTGTTTTGCATATCAATTGAACGCTCTCAATTGAAGAGTTGCAATGACGAAAGCTGATGAATACTGACTGAAACTGAGCGATGCTGCTTTGTCAACGATTTAATCAATTCTGATATCTTTGTGGCTAATTGCACAAGAACAGTAAAGTTTTGTTTCAATCACATTTGTCCAAATGAGGATCAACTTTAATGTAGACTTATCGTTAGCCATAGGCTTACACTTGAACTCGTGCTTAAGTTTGATTTCATTCTCTCACTTACAAGAGGCTAACTAAATTTGCGTAAGTGCAGAATTTAATTTTGGATTTACGCGAATTTAATTTTCTCATTTCATCCAACTTTTACGAGCCACAACCGATGCCAACGACGACCATTAAGACAGCATTTGCTGTGCGTCATCGCAGAGCAGATGTATTTAATTAAGTGTCAGCAAGTTTAATTCTCTCATAACAAACTCTGAGTCTATCAGCAACACCCTTGTTTGGTCTTTAATTCGATTTCCCAATTCGAAGCGCGGAAACAGTTGCATTAACAATTCACGCAAATTGTTCATGCAAAAAGACATACCCCACATAAAAAGTTCATTCGAGAAAAGAATTCGACTCAAAAATAACCGCAAGAGTCTTTTTTTGGACTCGTGAAAAGTCAATTGAGCATCGTCAAACCCCGAAAAAAAATCGAGTGGCTCGATCGATATTTTCCACGCCATAATCACATCGTTCATTAATTCCTCTACCTTTTCATCACAACTCGAGCGTATAAAAAGGCACTGTCACTCCTTAATAGCTCACTAATGCTTTGATTTCTGATGTTTATTGGAACGACTTTATGTTGGAACGAAAAGCTCAGTCAGGTGTTAGCGAGAAATTACCGACGTTTTCTGTCAACCGTAAACTAGAAAGTTTCCTGGCAGATCTGAACAAGGTGCGTTCCATGGATCATAGTCTCATAAGATTCACCAGAAAAAATAACGTGGCACACGTAGACATAAAATACTGATGTTTCTGATGTGATTTATTAATGCTGAGATTAGGCATAACATCAAATGTGGCAGCATGCAGTCTGTTGTTGCATTTGAATAATCTAATTTATCGTCCTTTCCAGAATCGTTTCAAACTCATATGACAAAGAATTGTTCAGTTTGTGATAGCAACTTGGCATTTGAGTGTTGTTTCGTTTGATTAATGGTGGCTGATGGTTCTATAAAAGAAAGTGCGAACTGGTTAAACTCATAGCAATTATAAAGTTTGATGGATGAACTGAACAAGTTACCGTATAGTGGAACCCAGCAGAATGCGAAAAGAATGATCACAGTGAGCATCATATGAGCAACTCGGAGCTTAACTCGCTCGTCGCGAATCTGGAATTCACAAATTGCCTTCTACTCGTTAACTTCATCAAACACATCAGTTAGTTCAAATGAAGCAATAATAATCATTCAGTATGCATTATTTCTTCAAATCGAAAACGAATGTTAGTGTGTGTGTGTGTGTGTAAGCAAACAGTCAATGGAATGAGTAATAATTACATGAGCGTCGACCGCAAGACTACGATGATTCGAGACGGTGATGAAGATGAGTGTATAGAAAACAGAAATTAACGCGAAAGGAACAATGAAAGCAAGCAGTAAATTAACGACGATGAAATTCCACGTTTCATCTCGCGTCGAAATACACAGTCTGGCCACAAGTGTTCCGTTTGGTGGGTCTAGTACAAACGATATCTGCAATATGATAATCCTCAACAAATAATAATACTCAAATGAAACACAACCAAAAATTCCTACTTCATCATAAGCGGCCAGTGTCGGTGCAGCCAGAAGACCACTAACGATCCAAATACAAGCAATCACATACAGTGTCCATCTTGAATCCCAGACCGCATAATTCATCGTATGACAAATCGCTAGGTAACGATCTGCGGTCACGGCCACTAATGTGAATATTGATGCGCATGATGTGGTCGAATTGATCCAAGTGGAAAGCTTGCAACCGGCAGCACCTAATTGCCATTCTGAAATTCGTATCCTATTCAATGCATCCATACTGGTGAATCACTAACACTACTAGATGGTTATCATGCCTCAATTATCTTGCTTCCTGATCGATGCTCGATATCGTCATGTGATTTTTCTTTTGTCACGTTAGTTTTAGGTCATCAGCACGTTGCGTAATAATTTATTGATTCAGAATCTCTCAGCACTTCAATATCAAGATCGAAGATGCTTGAATGAAATAGAACGATACTATGCAATTAATCTGTCTTTGACTGATAACACAGCATAATATTTAAATGGCAATGATAGTTCCGTTGAAAATATAAATTTTGATAGACAATCCAATGATTCTCGTATTCTGTGCCTTCTTCAGCCATACGGCGTCAAAAGACTCAGGTGACTGCCATCCCCGTCCCCAATATGTTACCTCTTAGAGATCAATCAAAAGAACACTAAAACTTATCCAGTGATTAGAAAGTTTTTCGGCAATATTTCTATGCTGATAATAAAGACATCATTTTCTCCTGTGCTGATAAAGCAGTAATGGACACTTTGCAAATGTTATGGAAGATATCTGATAAATTCGATCAATAAGGATTTGCAAATCAACGACATCTTCGATTCTTTCCAAAAAGGAACTACTGAGTTGGTGGGAAGGATAGAAAAGAGAGGGCAGAAAACGCTTTTAATGACAGATATAAAAGCATTCTGACATTCGGATACCTCTCAAACGAACAACAATTCACTTACGGGCACTAGTTCAAGAAAGCATTGAAAAATAGCTGAGAATTTCTATGAGTNGTTGGAAACCATTGCTGTTGCTTAATTAAAAGTCGTTTGAAAGTTTCTGAGTGAAAATACACTCACGTTGGTAATATTCTATTGACAGTAGAAAGATATTAGAAACTGTGATATTCTCCAATATGCTACTAAACGGATTCAATCCGACGTTTCAAGATCGTTCAAAGATCCGAAAATATTATGTTGAATAATGATCGTTCATTCATGTTTGGATCACCATTACGCTACGCTGTTCATTAGAGAAGAAATAAGCAGCTTTTGATATGATATTGATTCGCTTGATCATAATTCAGTAACGTTCTCATTGTACTTCTTCAATTGGTTTGCTAATTTCGTCAATGTGTTTACCAGCAATGCAGAATTATTCATGTCTGCGATTCACACATTGCATTTTATGGATAAATTGGTTAATGCATAGGTCTAATTTTGAGAGCGTAAGTGTATTATTGTATTAGTTAGGGAAGTATTACATTATTGCTTTATTTGCAAATATTCGTTGAATATCTTTCACCGTTCAAACCAAAAATGAAGTTTCAGAACGAGTTGCATTGAATAGTTGACATGGGGAGCAGTGGGTATATGAGCATTATTCTATGTGAGCATCCATCTTGTGTCCATCATTGTACGCTTGCTTATTGAGCATTGAAATGGATGAAAAGAAGTTAATAATGATGATTGTTCTTTAAAAGCATCAACTGTATACATCTGGGACGAACAAGTTAGTTAGTGGCAATAGCTGGCATCCAAAGGCTAGTGCATAATTATCATCCAAATCAGGCGGATGGCATCCTTCTGGGTAGTAGGCAAAGTGTCAGTTGAAGCAAGCAAAAAGAAGCGAATACTCATGGGCATATTGTGTTTGGTGATCTTGTCGAGCAGAAGGCACTCACTCATCACCATTCAAATCAGTGTAATGTTAGCGATGCAGTCAATTTGACAGTTGAAGTTCATTTGTTTGCCTATCAATAATCTAAAAAGATAAGGCTTGTTGACTGTTGTTCGGGGGCACATAACACACATCTTCAGAAAGATGCTGATGGAGTTGTGTATCGTCAGTGACGAACGATTGATTCTGAATCGATAATGACAACCATGAATACTACATTACAGCCCATCCAATACGCATTTATCATCACTATCTACTGAATAGACAATCTGGCAATGCTGTCATTTCTTCTTTTATCATCCATAAACTGCCCTCATAAATCTAATCTCAGCTCTTTTGCAGCTCATTTATTACAATTACAATTATTATTGCTTCCGAAGGTTGTGTTGAATGATCGTTAAAAAGTGATCAAAGTTAATCGACGATCAACTAAACAAACCAGCCATGCTTCGTTCAGTTAAGCGAGTGAGTTCTATTAATGCAACAAAATCTTTCCTCTCACTATCAAAAATGTTTGATGAACACACTGAATGTGAAAAACCAAGAAGCATTTTCATAACATACTCAATCAAACTTCATGATGCTCATTATAAGATTGATAGCTCACGTGTATGGTGGCTAGCTTGGCTGATCTTCTATATTAACTTCGACCACCTTTCAACGATCATTCAACATAATTTTCGGAAGCAACAATCATTGTAATCACACAAAATGCGCCTCAAACATGCACTCTCAAACACACGACCGAAGCTAATTCCGCTGAATGTCAGTTCGGTTTTACCGTAATTCGTTTTTCGTTAAAATTGTCGAAATTAGATTCTATCGGATTCTGAACACAACAAATTTGAATTTTTGATTGGAAAAGTGGACTTTCGGACGAGCGAATATGAATTCCATCGGATTACACCCAAATCAAAATTTCTTCTGGTTGCTTTTGCTAATACAAATGATACAAAATTCATCATTCATTAATCTAATGTAAACAGTACTAATTGATTATCTGCTGGCTAGACGCAAACGTAAGTGCTTGTTGATTTGCTGGAATGTGAGGATGAAATTTGGCTTTAAGCGAGAAAGGAATTAACTAACGTTGAGCGCTTATCTTGGGAATATGTTCGATTCAATTACTAATACTGACGATGCAAACTGGATGAACGAATCCAGAAAATAACGAAGGGATTTCGCTCAGAATGAGATACTGAAAGTTTTTGTGAGTATGGATGCGATAGAATCGAGCAGGAATAACATTAGCACTACAAGAATGAAGGTGATGAATCGCAAAAAGAACGGTCGGATGTGTGAATGTTCACATGAAATGAACAACAATTAGAGTCAGTAAACCTCGAAGCAATTCACTGAAATAACTGTAGAGATTCGCTACGAGAACTGTTCAGAAGCAATCCTTTAATAGCAATCAAAATGTGTTCATCTTAATTCTGTAATGTTAATGAAGAAACAAAAAACGAAATCTCTTTATAATGCACTTAGTTGCATTTTTTAGGAAACTTTGTAAGGCTCAATGAATGCAACGAAGCTACTCAACAATCTACTTGACCAAATTTTTTGTTTACTAGAGCCTCGCTACCCGCTTGTTTTCGTGTTTTGCATTGACGAATACATCAATTTGATGACGGCATAACCGACAAGTTATTATTGCTTACATTATTCAGTGCACCATTATTATCATCGTTATCTGTATGATTATTGTTATTACTGAACGAATGAAGTCTTAATTTATGAGTGTCGATAAATCCATGTTGGTGGTTATAGAACTGACTGTTTTTTGAACTGAGAGCAGGTGCGTTTGTAATGTGCGAAAATTAAGGAGTCCGTTGAAACGAATCCATAACTTCAATTGTATTCGTTGCTTTTCAATTGGCTTGCATCTTTTGCCTCAGTTCAAAGTGAGCGATCTGCTGAGTTTTATGGGCTGGGAGGTTCGAAGGGAAATATCGACTGCCGAGTGCTTGCAATGAAACGAACGGTTTGCGATGGATCGAAGAACAACTTCAAATATGAGTTCAGATAGGAACTGAACACCGAAACATGAAGTGACCGTAGTGAATTGAATCATTGCGCATGATTTATTGTTGATAAACAATCGTTTATTGAGCGATCAACATTGAACAAACGAATTCGAAGTATCCTTTCTGTGTCCATCTTCTTTCTTGACAAAACGCTAACATCATTATTAATTTATTATATTTATTCAAGCTATTGAAACAAAAGGAACAGTAACTAATAATGTAGTTTTTTTCACGCTCACAAATCCGACTTTAAAAATGAGCATCAAGCTATCAGAATTTATCAATTCCTTCATTTTTAGGTTTTTCTTAAAGATCAATACCTTTCATAAATCAGCATTCAGAATTATGAACTCCTTGATTTAGATTATAAAACAGTAAGACTTAAAATAATTCTTAAGGTGATGTGAAACGAAAAGTATCATAAAGTGAAGTTGGAGATTCATCATTAGGGAAGCGAGATTGTTTCAGTTTTATAGATCATTTCAGTTTTATAGATAACGCCATAGAAACCCAATCATTGCATGTCATTACTAAGTATGGTATCGTTTGTTCAGCATGAATAATTAAGCGGTAAAATGACTCATAAACTGCTCGAAGCGTTGAATATTTTTTTGTGATGAGTTATTTATCTATAAATAACCTTGTGTATGTGTGTACTTTTCAGGATATAGTTCAATTACTTTGGGGAATTAGATCTGATCTGAACGAGAGAATTTATTGGTGTTATTGGATTCTGATTTGAGGCATCACTTATAACATCATAAATGCGAAACAAACCAAAAGTTTGAGCCAAATATCAAAAATAAGGTGGTTGACACCTGCATTGTTTTATGAAGCCTTCATGCACCTTTCCACTGATGATCAACCACAATGACTTAAATGGTCAACTGTCGCAATCGAACAGCGCGAATCCATCAAGCACGATGTCTTTCCTCGGCGTAAAAGCAGCAGCACAACATTATAACATCATTAAAGCAACGCCACTCAAATCATCTATCTTATTCATCTATCACTATAAACCACACCCATCAGTCCAAAGCCAACAATGTTCAAACGATAAATCTAAAATTTCGGCATTCGTCTTACTATCATCACTGATTGCGGTTATACTTTTCACAGAACCTCTTCACTCTAAACCCAATCAACGATCACAGCAACGATAACAACAATAATAACAATATCACCAAACGATGTTTAATAATGATTTTAAGATCAGATTCGATGCTTAACAGGGCGTAAATCATTCCGCTGAATGCAACTGATTACTTGAAAGCAATCCGTTGCTTGCTAGGTCATCACCAATAAGCGGCAACTTCACTTATCATAAATTATCA